GCTGCGGTGGTCTCAGAAGTTAATCTGGTGGAGAACAGTTCAGAATGGGTAGTTGACACTGGCGCTTCGAAGCATTTCTGCGCAAGGAAGGAGTTTTTCACTGAGTTCGAGGATGGAAACACTGGTGAACGTGTGTACATGGGGAACTCTAGCAGCTCTGAAGTGCTAGGCAAAGGCAAGGTTTTACTCAAGCTGACTTCTGGTAAAACTCTGGCTTTAAATAATGTTCTGTATGTACCTGCCTTGCGTAGAAATTTGATAAGTGGTGGGCTTCTGAATAAGGCAGGCATTAAGTTAGTTTTTGAGGCAGATAAACTTGTACTTTCCCGAAATGGTGATTATGTGGGGAAAGGGTTTTTAAACAATGGTTTATTTGTCATAGAAACTCAATTTAATGAAAATAAAGCTACCACTTCTGCTTATATTGTTGAATCCATTGATATGTGGCATGCTAGATTAGGACACGTGAATATTCATGCTTTAAAGAAATTAATAAATATGAATGTTCTGCCTAAACTAGACACAACTAGCTTTAACAAATGTGAGATTTGTGTAGAAGCTAAGCATACTAAACCTCACTTTAAGACTGTTTCTAATAGAAAGACTGAACTGTTAGAACTCATTCATACTGATCTAGCAGATTTTAGAAACACTGAAAGTAAAGGAGGAAAACACTACTACATAACTTTTGTAGATGATTATTCAAGATATACAAAAGTTTATCTCCTAAGAACTAAAGATGAAGCTGAAACTTCTTTCTTATTATAAGGCAGAAGTTGAAAATCAGTTAGATAGGAGAATCAAACGAGTTAGATCTGATAGAGGTGGTGAATATGGATCTAATTTCTTAAAAGATATTTGTGAAAAGAATGGCATAATTCATGAAACATCAGCCCCTATTTTCCTCAACAGAATGGTATAGCCGAAAGGAAAAATAGAACTTTAAAAGAGATGATGAATTCTTTACTAATAAGTTCTGGGTTATCTGATAACATGTGGGGGGAGGCCATTCTATCGGCAACTCATATCTTGAACCGAGTTCCTCATAAGAAATTAGATTCTACCCCATATGAATTGTGGAAAGGATACGCTCCTAATTTACAATACCTGAAAGTGTGGGGGTGTCTGGCTAAAGTGGGCTTGCCAGACTTTAAGAAGTCCACCATCGACCTAAAACCGTTGATGCAGTGTTTATAGGGTATGCTACGAATAGTGCTGCATACAGATTCATGCTTTTACAAGATTATTCTATTTGTGAATCAAGAGATGCTGTTTTCTTTGAAAATACTTTTCCTTTAAAGGAACCGAGAATAAATATTGAAACACAAATAGAATATATTCCATCAACTTCTTCTAGTAAACCTGCTAGGTCTTCTGAACAAATTGATTTTGAGCCTAGAAGAAGTAAAAGGCAAAGAGTTGAAACCTCTTTTGGACCAGACTTTATTACTTCCTTTATTTCTGAGATAAATGATTTAGACTTCATTTCAGATCCTATAGCTCAAATTTTCTATTAGATGAGGATCCTAAAACTTTTGAAGAAGCTATAAGATCTATCGATGCTAGTTTTTGGAAAAGCGCTGTTAATGATGAACTAGAATCGATAATGTCTAATCATACTTGGGAATTAGTTGACTTGCCTAAGGGATTCAAACCAATCTCCAACAAATGGGTCTTCCGGAAGAAACTAAGGCCAGATGGTTCGATTCAGCGATACAAGGCAAGGTTAGTCGTCAAAGGGTTCACTCAAAGGTTTGGTTTAGACTACTTTGATACATACTCTCCCGTTACAAAAATCTCAACGATTCGTGCATTATTTGCACTAGCCTCTATTCATAAGTTGCAGGTACATCAAATGGATGTTAAGACTGCTTTCTTGAATGGGGATCTAGATGAGGAGATTTACATGGAGCAGCCACTAGGTTTTGAGGCACCTGGTATGGAAGGCAAAGTTTGTAGACTCAAAAAGTCACTCTATGGACTTAAGCAGTCTCCTAAACAGTGGTATGAGAAATTTCATAAAACTATTCTTAGTTTTGGTTTTGTTGTGAATGGTTCGGATGCTTGTGTGTATTCGAAGATGTTTGAAACTGAATGTGTTATCATAAGTCTTTATGTTGACGACATGTTGATTTTCAGTTCTAACATTGAGTCCATTAACAAAGTTAAAAATTTCTTGTCCACTAAGTTTGAGATGACAGATTTGGGAGAAGTAGATGTAATCTTAGGAGTCAAAATTACCAAAACTGAGAAGGGATTTTCTTTATGTCAAGCACATTATATAGAGAAAGTGCTAAAGAAATTTGACAGTTTTGATGTCGTCCCTGTTCGAACTCCTTATGACCCTAGCATACATCTAGTTAAGAATAAAGGAAGTAGTGTTTCCCAAACTGAATATGCTAAATTAATCGGAAGTTTAATGTTCTTAATGAACTATACTCGGCCTGATATTGCTTATGCTGTGAGTAGACTAAGTAGATATACTCATAATCCGAGTGGTGAGCACTGGATTGCGCTTAAACGCTTACTGAAGTATCTTAAGGGTACTGTGAATTGGAAACTTGAGTTTGTTGGCTTTCCTGCGGTATTGGAAGGATATTGTGATGCCAACTGGGTTTCTGATAATGATGAGGTAAGCTCTACGAGCGGGTATGTTTTTACTTTGGGTGGAGCAGCGATCTCGTGGAAATCATCAAAGCAGACTTGTATTGCTCGTTCTACCATGGAGTCAGAGTTTATAGCTCTTGACCTAGCTGGGCAAGAAGCCGAGTGGCTCAGAAGCTTGTTAGCAGATATTCCGTTGTGGGGAAGACCGACTCCTCCAGTTTCATTGTTGTGTGATTCACAAGCTGCGATATGTGTGGCTAAGAACCAAGCTTACAATGGTAAGAAAAGACACATTCGCATAAGACATGAATCAGTTAGACACTTGATAAAGAATGGAGTGCTCTCTTTAGAGTATGTGAAGTCGGAAAGGAACCTAGCAGATCCACTTACCAAAGGGTTAAGTCGGAAGCTGGTCCTAGATTCGTCGAGGGGGATGGGTCTAAAGCCCATTGGTTGAGGAATTCATGGTGGATACCCAACTTAGTTATCTAAGTTCCATGTGGTCAAACGAAACCATGGAAAGACTCATAGTGCACATTCCTACTGCCTATCCCTATGATGAATAATGTGCATGCCCAGGATGAGCTTAATTGCTCTTAATAAATTCATAGCCCAGGCTTTGGGTGGTCTTAGTGAGAAAGACTTGATGAATTTACCGATTTTGGCTGAATATCTATTCTTAATAAGTTCATAACCCAGAGTGAGTGGGTAGGAAATGATGAACTTACTGACAGAAAGGTTGAGTTTGTTAAACTCTTAATAAATTCAAATCCAAGTATTTGGATGGTTCTAGTGAGAAGGACTTATTGAATTTACCGATAATGAGGTTGAATATTTATTCTTAATGACTTCTTAGCCCAGAGTTTGGGTGGTTCATTTATAATGAACTTGAAAAAAAGTCACCATACCCTTTGTGAGGTTGAGCTATTATAAAAGCTCTTAATTATTTCATATTCCTTTTTAAAGGGTGGTTTATGTTGAGATAAACTTGATGAAATAACCTATGTAAGTGAGAAGGGTTAGCCGCCTTCTATGAAAAATGTTGGGCTATTTTTCTAGCACACTTACTAGAATCCTGAGGTAAGATGGCCAATATATACTTTTGTATATATATCTTACACATCGAGGACTCAGGTGGATGAAGGGGTTAGTTGTGTGTTATGAGTTTACCCTGATCTTAGAAAGTTCCAGACTAGTTTCACTTATCTAAGAGAAGGATTGCTCATCATCACTATGTACTAGTTCCAGATATGTTCACTAGTGCTTAAGCAACTAATCTCGCTATTACTCTTCTGGAAAGCTTGTTTTCGAGTTTCAGAAGATTTCTTTCGCATTAGTGGGGGAATGTTGGTAATGCTCAATCCCACATAGTGTTGGAAACACTATTGGGAATGGTATTTAAGGCTTGACATTCCACTTCCTTGTTGAGTGATAGAGAACAAGGGGGGCTCTCGCGCACCGCCGCCGCCGTCCGTCCGTCTCGTCTCGGCTCGGCTCGGCACGGCACGGCACGGCTCGGCTCGGCTCGGCTCGTGGTCGTGGTCGTGGTCGAGGTCGAGGTCGAGGTCGTGGTCGTGGTCGTGGTCGTGGTAATACGTGTCTTCGACACGTCCGCGCGGATACTATCTTTTTAGAGAAAATTCTTGAGGAATTTCTCTTTGAAAGAAACAAATGGAAAATGTGAAAGATATCAACTGATATTTATAGGCTGCTGAGGACTGTTTGAATTTCAAATAATAACAGCTGAATTATTTTTTATCAGAAATTAAACAGTTTATTCCTAAATTAAATCAGAAACGTTAAGATGTACCTGGACTGATTTACAGCTTTGTACAGAGGAGACAAGCTGTTAATATCAGGAGTTACAGGAGTTATTTGATTTAATTCCAGGGGTTACATGATATAATTTCGGGAGTTATAACAGCTGAATAATGATACAATGAACCTGGACTATTTCTGAGTCAGGTTCATCTAGTCATTTCAGCTGTTACAAATAAGAGGTTTAATCCTGAAATTTTATGGACGACTTTAACCCTATTTCTAGCCTATAAATAGAGAGCTATATTCAGCTTCTCAACTCACTCCAAAACATTCACAATTCACTTACCAAAGTGTTTTCTAAAGTTCTCTCTGTGAGTTCTCTCTGAGTGCTTTCCGATCAGAAGTGCAATACCACCAGCAGTCCACTCCGGTTTCGGGTGTACGGAATTCGGAGCGACCGTGTTAACCTCGGGGGACGGTCCGCCTACTGCAGCGATTACACACATCGAGGCGAATTCGTTTCTAAGGCAGTGGTTCTTACCACGACACGGTTTACGAATCTGTTCTTCTTAATTACTGTTTATATTTTCAGTCAGTGCTAACGGTGTAGTTTTGCAGTTCATATATCCAACATTCTTCGGTTAGCGAACTGTTGGGTGAGCGAACAACGTATGCAACTGGGACCTCACCGGCTTCGTCATCGGGATATCTGTGGTGACAGTGTGGCAAAAATGTAACTCTAAATGATGTCTTTACGATCCCAGATTTAGATGATGCAAACAATTACAGGATTTTCGGCATAACTTACGGGATAACAACAGCATCCAATATTTCAGGGTGAGACAAAAGTAGCCCTTCAAGCTCTGCTGGTGCAACCTGGTGAATATTGATAAAGCAAATGCAAAGGCTTTTAGTTTAGAGGGAAACACGTTAACTTTGAAAGATCACCAGAAAAAAAAAAGTTATAAATTGTTAAAAACACGAACAGTGCAGCATATGAACAATCTATTCGATCAAAACTTCAATGCAACAACAACTGTTACATAAGAACGAGCATTCCATGTAGAACTGGTTAGCATCGATATAAAGAGGTTGATGTGGTTGAGAAGAAAATCAGCAATAAAACAGTGAAATTACGACTGAAAAACGAATGAGAAAGAATATGGAACTCAAGGAAAACCTTTAGTTTTCTATTAATGCAATGAAAATAAGTTACCTGGAAACCTTTGTACTTGATCAACTCCTTAATCCTGTCAACAACATAGAGATTCCCATTCTCATCAAAGTATCCAAGATCTCCAGTATGAACCCAACCCTTTTCATCAATTGTCAGTTTAGTTGCCTCTGGATTGTTGAAGTAACCTGAAAATAGTCACTGGAAATTGCTGAGAGAAAGCAGCAGAAGTTGTAAGAAAAGTTTTAAAAAATAAAAAAAGTATACAACATTCATCCAACATGGATTAGTTTGAACTATCGATTTGTTTCATATAGAAAGAAATTGATTTCATACTGAATGAACAAGTATAGATAGATTACTATGCATCTATTGAACCCATGATCATTCATGATTCGATAATTGAATCAATGTTCCAATCTAAAGGAATGTTATGGTAAAACTTTGTTCGAAACAATAATGTTTAACTTGAACAACATGATTGACGAACACAAAATTTTATGTCATGAGTGCATACTTAGGAAGTTATATTAGAAATATATGAGGTGCAGAATTAAAAAAATTTAGTAGTGCAAAATTAGACCATCAATGAAAAATACAAAGAAAATACTTAAACCATATAGGAATTTGAAATTTTCAGGGGATATGATTGCACTCTCGAGCACCCTCCATCCATTCATGCACGTAGATGTGAAAACCCTCCACTTTCCATTAACTAGTTAATACTTGTGCCTAGATGATTTAACTGTTTGCGAAGTACATATAATTTTACCATATATCAAACTCTTACATCATAAAGAGATAAGGGTAATTAAGAATTTTATTGATTTGCATTTGAGATGCATAGCTTGAAGTTATTATTATAATATCAAAGAGGATTAGCAACTAGCATAAACAGAGTGTAGCTGTGCATATCATCATTCAATTCAATACATCCAGGAATTTAGCAATTTAGTATTCAGAAGATAACTACTTGGATGTTGTTCATACCAAATATTCAATCTTCTTTTATTTCCTCGGGGAAAGTACAAGCAAAGAACGTTACCTTGCATCATATTAGGCCCTCGAACCCATATTTCCCCTAATTGGTCTGGAGGAAGAGGCTCTGAATTTTGTGTACTAATGATCTGAGCTTCAATGCATGGAGCAAGCGATCCAGCTGAACCAGTATGTCGGACACCGAATGCGGCACTTTCCATCGATATAATCGCGCAAGTTTCAGTCATTCCATAGCCCTGAAACCACAGGAAGTTACATGATGAGAAGAAAACTTCTTGAAGATAAGTGATTAACACAATATTGCTATTTACTGCGACTTTTATATGCATACAAAGGACCATATGAACTTGCAAAGTACTTGAAAGCTAATGTACCTGCATAACAACAGCCTGAGGGAACTTCTTTGCGCACTCCTCCATCAATTCCTTTCCCAAAGGTGCAGCACCAGAACTAATTTGCTTCAATGAGGAAAGATCAAACTTGTTAACCACATTCTGCTTAGCCATGGCAAGCACAATAGGAGGCACAACCCACAAATCGGTTGCCCTATACTTCTCAGCATTCCTCAAAAACGTCTCAAATTCAAACTTCGCCATTGACACCAAAGTGTTTCCCATCTGCAGCTGTCCGTACACGATGACAGCCAATCCAAACACATGAAACATAGGCAAAATGCACAAGTAAACCCTGTGCATATCCCCAGCAAGTTCTTGATCCTTTGTCACCATCAAAGACGATGCAATGAAATTCCTATGAGTTAGAATGACTCCCTTACTGACACCTGTCGTGCCCGAAGAGTACAGAAGCACTGCCGTGTCGGTCTGCTTAACAGAACGAGACACGGCGGGAAACTCCGTTACGTTCCCCGCTGAATCAAGTAGATCGTGGAAAGAAATAATTTTGGGGGTGTATTTTACATCAGACGGTCTCTGGTTACGTTTAGAACCAAGTAGGATCAAAGGGATCTTTAAATCTTTAACTTTGTCGAACAATTCAGGGACAGTGACGATAAGCTTCGGATTGGAATCTTCGAGTTGTTTCGAGAGTTCGTTGACCGTATAAATTGGGTTGGCAGTTGTAGCGATGGCACCGATGGCTGTTACAGCAAAGAAACAAAGAGGGAACTGGATTGAATTGGGCGCAAAGATCAAGATTCGGTCGTTTTTGTTGATATCCAGATTGAGAAAAGCATGGGAGAGCTTGATGACAGTGGATTTAAACTGAGAGAAAGTGAGTGTTTCACCAGAATCTGCATCGATGAGCGCTGTTTTGTCGGGGTAAGAGGAGACGTTTCTCAAGAGGAATGAAACCATGGAAAGATTTGGTTCCTTGGGAAGAACAACTGGAGGCCTTAAAGACCTGTAAATGCCATCTACTCCATACCCAGATTTCTCCATCAAAATATGATCTTTGGTCTTGTTTGTTATTCTTTGGAATGATGAAAGCTGGAAGCTGGGAATGAATTAAAACAAAACGGAGTTACTGACAAATAATATCCAAAAGATTTCTGGCTGAGGAAGTGACACCAAGTGGGGGTAGTTGACAATTAATGGCGGAAATAAACAAAAAGACTTGAACAAATTTGGCACTAACTTCAACTTACACGAAACGCGAGGATCAAGGTTAGACTCTTTGGATAGTCTCGTTTTCCTTTAAGAAAAAATGATTGGCTACTCTCGTTATTTTTAAAGGGTAAAGTATATAAATGGTCACTGAACTTTTTAGACTCTTGCATTTAGATCCCACAACTTTTAAAACTTGTAGTACAGTCACCAAACATTTAGTTCGTTTGCAATATGGTTCCCGACGTAACGATCGTTTCAATGTCGTTATGGTAAATTATATAAATGGTCACTAAACTTTTCAGTCGCTTGCATTTAGGTCCCTCTAACTTTTATAACTTACAACACAATCATCAATTACATTTTAAACCCCAAAATCCAAAATGTTTTAATTACATTCAATACCTCATATTCCAAAATATTTCATTTACATGCCCAACCCCAAATTCATAATTCATTCTCAAAAGTTACCATAACAAACTGAACTTGAAGCAACAATCCTAAATCCTCAAAACATAATTGTTTCGGAAAAAATTAATCAACTATAAGTGAATGATAAGTGATTATGTTGGGTTGAGAATTTAGGGTTATGTTGGACCTAAATACTCAATTCAATTTATAAAATAGTTGACTCGAATATTTTTTCGATTTGAGTTGACTTGAATATTTTTTCGATTTGAGTTGACTCAATTTTTTTTTCTATTTGAGTTTATAAAATTTAAATCAAGTCGAATTAAATTGAATTTTTGAGTTTCTGTTTAAATTTAATTATAAATATTTATCATATTATAATATTATTTGATTTTAATTCAGTTTAGTTTATAAAATAGTTGACTCAAACTTTTTTCTATTTGAGTTTATAAATTTTAAATCAAGTCAAATTGAATTGAATTTTTGAGTTTCTGTTTAAATTTAATTATAAATATTTATAATACTACAATATTATTTTATTCTAATTTAAATAGTTTTTAACCATATACAATACATATATTTCTTCATATTTTTTCCATATGTGATATACATATATCATACAGAGTCAAGGGACTTGAATCAAACTTAAAAAATAATCTACTAATTACTAAAAAAAATTGAGATATTCGAGTTGTATTTTATAACTCAATTTTAACTTGAAATTTTTTAAGTTTAGTTTATGAAATTACAACTTAAAGTCAATTTGTATCAAATTTTTTGAATCAATTCAAGTCGGAAAATAATTTTTTTCGAATCGAATTGAGTATTGTTCACTTATAGTTGGTTAAATCTAACTTTTAAATCCTAAACCTAACATAATCACTTATTGTTATGGACCCAAAATGAACTAAATGTTGTTGATTATGTTGGGTTAATTGGTGGTGAAATTTAGCATTTAGGGTTATGTTTTGAGGGTTTATGGTTGATGCTTCAAGTTCAATTTGTTATGGCAGATTTTGAGAATGAATTATGAATTTGGGTTTGGGCATGTAATTGAAGTATTTTTGGAATTTGAGGTTTAGAATGTAATTGAAGCATTTTGGAATTTGGGGTCTAGAATGTAATTGATGATTGTGTTGCAAGTTTTAAAAGTTGGGGGACCTAAATGCAAGCGCCTAAAAATTTTAGTGACCATTTATATAATTTACCCTAACGGCAGTGAAATGGCCGTTACGTCGGGACCATATTGCAAACGAACTAAATGTTTGGTGACTGTATTGTAAGTTTTAAAAGTTGGGGGACCTAAATGCAAGAATTTAAAAAGTTCAGTGACCATTTATATACTTTACCCTTTTTTAAATTCCGTCACGGCATAAACGTGATATTTTTTAAACAAAAAATCTATATTTGTTTTAGGGGTAATAAAAAGATTAGTCCATGAATGTTTACTTGTTTTAATTTTCACCTTCAATTTTTAGCAATGTCAACCTCATTATTTTTAAAACATTTCAAATAAATCCTTTCAATTCTTTATATTTTCAATATATATTGTAAAATTAATCTTTTATTTTATTGATTTTTTAATTGTACCTTTAATTTTTTTAAAAAGGAATATGAGAACTGATTTGGAAATTCTTCACTACTAGGAAAGATAATTGCTTCAACAATCAGTTAGTCTAGCAGAATGAGACACTAAATCTTTAAGTAAGATCACGAGTTTGAATTCTAACGTTTACGAATGAAGTAAACTGGATTGGAGGGACCGCTCTATAATGAATCTCTGTAAAAAATCAGAGTCGAAATAATCGATCAATAAATTAAGTGGATATGATTAAATAAGAAAAAAAACATAAAATGGACTTGATCAAATCCGATTCATCTCCTGAAGCACAATTTCATCAACTCCAAATAGAGGTCCTCAAATTGGAGTAGGTTACCAAACTTGAATTCTTTTTTTTCCTTTGGTTAAATAGATAATATTAATTGGGTTTATGGTTGTCCGGTCTTCGTCTCCATTATCTTCTTTAATCGTTTCCTTAATACCTATTTTTCAGGTTGCTTTCTGATGTCAAATCACGTCGTAATGTAAAGATATAAAAAATGAATAATTATCCACAATCATATTATAACTACAATCAAATAACATTATAAATTCCAAACTAAAACTAGAAATTAACTTAAATAGTCATCTGTTTTCCTATTTAAAAAAGTAATTAAAAATAGAAACGCGCGATTATATCCAAATTTCCAACTTTTGCAGGCGGAAATCCCATTCTCGCATGTAAAACATCGCCATTTAATCTATTCTACCAAATTTTAGTTACAAGCAGGCGGTGATAAGGAGAAATCCAGGGAAAAGAGGAACGGTGATTTGGGTTAGGAAAACCCACGTGGCGCTCATTAACAAAGAACAAATTGTTTTGATATGTTAATTTACTAGCATAAATTTTGATATCGAAAAATTTTCAAATTAGTCTTCTTGTTCTTTTAAAAAATAAGAGTAAAATAAAAATAATAATAAATAATTATTGATGATTAGTTTCTCTATTATACCCAGAGAATATAAATGATAAAAACGGCTCATTTGAAAAAAAAATTTAAAATATTGAGGTTGAAATTGAAAAAAAAACACGGAGCAATTGAAAATTTAATTAAATATTGAGAACTAGTTTTACTATTATACCTTTAGGATATAAAGATTAAAAGGCCTTAATTTGAAAATTTTGGAAATAATGAAGTTGACCTTGTAAAAAAGTTGAACGCAAAATTGAAAATAATGAACCTTTGAGGACTAAACTTGATATTATCCCTTAATGTTAATCATTGATTAGTTTGAATATTATTTATAATTTTTAAAATAAATATTTAATTTTTTATATTTTTAAACATTAAAGATGAAATTGAACATAAGTAAAATATTAAGGACTAATCTTATTATTATTATTATATGGATAATTGACTAATCTTATTATTGTACACTAAGTAAACGAAGATTTTCATTGAAAAAAGTACCACTTGCCAAATTCTGAATAGTCAACTGTTGCCATGTTAGTTACTATGACGAAAGTGAATAAAATAAGAGTTGACGGTGAAATATTTCATATATGAAATTGAAAAAAAAAATTATTTGTATGACATTAAAGAATTTGATATAATATATATCCTTAATTAAAACAATAAGTGTTTAAATTATATTATTTTCATTTTAAGTGTTTAAATTTTTATTAGAATAAATATTTAATAATTTTTATTATTATCGGAAGTATATTGCCATTAACGACTGTTAAAAAATATATATTAATTATTCAAAACATGAAATATAACATGTTTATAAATTTTCATTTCATAATATGAAAGGAGCTTTTGAGTAAATAAACAAACAAAGTCGTTGAATTGTATTTTCATGACAAAGTCTAATTATAAAAAAGTCACAAAATATATTATATAAATAAAAAGTCGTTGAATTGTATTCTCATGATAAAAATCATTAGTTAACAAAAATGATTGACGCTTTAAAATAGACCTTTTTTTATCCTATATTGAAATATTAAGGATCAAATTGCAAAAAAGAATAGGATTCAAAGTGACTATTTGGTCAAATATTAGGAGTATTTTTGTCCTAAAATGAAATGTTGGAGTCAAAATATTCTTAGAAAAAAATAGAGACTATAATGAACCATTTTAATAAATATTGATGATTAATTTGGACATTATACCTTTTTCAAAACATGCAGGTTATGAGTCATAATATGAAATAAATAAAAGAAGTGTTGTTGGAGTGTATTCCAACCATAATGTCTAGAAAGTCAAACAAATAAAATATTGGAAACCAAATAAAAAAAATCACAAAACACATGTTCTAATATCACGTGCATTGTACATAATTTCTAGGTTCTAATGTCACGTGCGTTGTACATAATTTTATATGTTAAATTGAAAATCAATATTATATCAATAAATAATAAATTTAGTGAAATAGACATAATAATAAAATTTCTCATTTTGCAATTACATTTGCTTACAATAAATTTTCAAAAATTTACGTTTCTTAAATTTGTTAAAATTAAATTAACCGATTCGATTAAAAATATATAATTTGATCAGTTTGATCAAAAGTGTATAACCAAGAATGAAGTATATAATTAAAAAAATCATTATTGATTCAACTATTTAATCGTTTGGACTGAAAATAAATGATTTGATCAAATTAATTACATGCCCTGATTCTTATAACCTTGATGTTTATATGACAATTATTTCTCTTTACTTCAATTTGGTACCTGAATTAAGAAAAAAAATTAAATTGGTATTTTGTGTTGATGTGATATTTCAACAACCAATCAAATCATGACATGTGGTAAGAAAAAAAAAATTAGCAACGCGATTGGTTATTGAGATGCCAAATCAATATATGTATCAATTTAAGAATTTTTTTCGAGTTGAAGAATCAATTTAAACCAACAAAAATTAAGGTCCTAATATGTAAAATAATCATTTATACAAATATTTACACACATTAAGGTACCAATAAGTATCTTTGTTTTTGTTTTTAATTTTCAATACCTATGTTTTTACGATGTGTTTTTCTCGATCTTTATGGTACATTTTTTTGTCTTTTGTTATGTTTTCAATTTTTTATTGGTTATTTGACCATTTTTTCATTTAATTTTCTCATGATTGGATTTGAAGTCGTCTCGACTGATCAAAATTGCGCTTATTTGTTTCCATGTTGATATTCCCTTTTTTGAATGATCAGATTGTATTTAAGATACGCAGTTTACGCTCATAGATAGTGTTGTCATGATGCTTGACTCTGATTTGTGATTATCGGTGATCTTTCAATTGTTTAATCTTCTATTGTGGCTCTTTTATCAATATAATTAGATTTTCTGTATCAATCTTTTGTTTAAGTTTTTTTGATAAGTTTTTCAACTTTTTTGTATGGTTCTTATATGATCTCAAGTGACTAATTTATTTTGTTGTTGATTATATAAATATGTCCTAATTATATATTTAATTTATATTTATGATTATAAACCTCCATTATAATTTTCATTTTTTTTTATTTTTTAGTAAAATTAAATACTCTATTCAAATAAAAAATTAAGCAAAGTTTAAGTCAAAAGTCCATTTTTGTCAAAAGTTTTAGTTTTTCTTAAATCTCCCTTACATGTTTCAACAAATTATTTTATTATTGTTAATTAGTTGATTTATTTTTATTAGATTTAAAGTTTTGTGTTTTTAATTCAAATTGGAGAAAGGGATAAAACAACAAATTGATCAAATAAATAAAATTTTATAATAACGTTTATTGTTTTCCATTCAATCTCCTTACATTGACTTTTCAAATCAAAATTTATCTATTTTATACAAAATTTAGGACCTTTTGCTAAAAAAATAAAAATAAATTCCGAGGATCATTTTTTAAAGAAAAAAACCATGCTTAAATCCAAACCCAACTTGGATCAGTAGACTCAAATTACTCATAAGAATATAAAAATGTAATTTTATATTTTATAATTAAATTTTGATAAATATATAATTTAAATCATTTATTTTTTAAATTTAATTTGAATTTATCAGACTGAGCTACTCTCCCCCACGAACATGTCAAAGCCTGTCTTACAAACTAATATACTTCACTAGTATTAGTCAAACAAATATTTTAAAATTATCTTATTTATATGATAATCCTTTGCGTTTTCATGGTATTGAAAAATAATCTGGTCATACATACTTGTCACTATTTAAGTAGTTTAAGTAATTATTTATTTGGGTTCTTTTTCATGGAAAATGAGATTTTCAAACTTCTTTTTTATGAGATAAGGGTTAACTGCACATAATTTTTTAAGTGCATGATGGGTGTTTTTTTCTTCTTTTTTTCTGTATTTGCCTGCAGTGCTTTTTTAAAAAAAAATTGATTTGTTTATTTTCTTTAATTTTTTTATTTTTTCTATTTTAATCACTCAATTATTTTTTGTTTTAAAATAATACCTACCATTTAGTTTTAGTTTTATTTTGGTCATACACTACTAAAAAATTAACAAAACTACTAGCATGACATTTTATTTTTTCAATGATGCCGTGGTATTATTCTATGGCAATATGTTAATATTATCGTTAATTTTTTAACCGTGAATGACCAAAACTAAACGTTAGTATACTTTTGAAAGAAAAAAAAATTGAGTGACCAAAATGGAACAAAGTGATAATTAAGGTACTAAACGTACAATTTACCCTAATGTTTTTGGTGTGGCATGATGGATCTCACAATGGTTCGATGGACTTAATTAATTGGTTATAGAAGATTTGTAAAGGGAAGTCTTTGCAGGTTATCAGAGGCGGACCAGGACAAAAATTTAGGGGTTGTACAAAAAAACTCTTCGAATCTTCGATCTAATCTGTTGTCAATTGTCGTATCCCAATTCCCACAAAACTGAAAATAGATACTTGATTTATGGGCTTAAAGTTTGTTTTTTGGGTTTGATCTCTTTTTTTAATTTTAAATAGGATATTATTTTTTTCATATAATAAAGAGTAACAGTTACACACAATATTAGGGGTGACACTTGTATTAATTAAAAAAATTAGAAAAAATTAACACTAAGTAGGCAATTTTGAGGGGTTGCCTGAAAAACCCAGGACAACTATAAGGTCTGCCCCTGCAGGTTATTATAACCCGGTTAGTTTGGTATATGTTTAACTACTATAATTAGCAGGAGAGGAATAATAGGCAGCATGGGAGTGGAGAATTCCATGTAAATGTTATTTTTTCTCAGATTAAGAATGATACTTGTCTAAGACTTGTTGGAAGCAGTAAAAAATTTAATTCAAATTTTAGTTTAGCTGCTAATTGGGGCTTTTAATTACAAATTTTGTTGTTGTTAGTTGTTTTGTTCTTCGATTTTTTGATTGGATTATTTCTTTAGGTGTTAAAGATTGAGTGATGTAATGTTTATTTGTGTTTGGGGTTTCTTTTGGATGAATAAATGCAGTTTATAAAAAAAAAATAAGAGAATAAGCAAACAGTTTTGTTAATTTCGGTCGAAAATGGCTTCTTTATTTTAATCGCTGCCGGCTTGCCTGGGTTCTCTCTGCTTTATTTGACTAATAAACCCTGCAAGTCATCTTCATCACTCCCATTTTCTTACATTTCTAAGCCCCTTTATAAACAAAAAGTTCGTATACTTTCTGAAACAACTTCACTAGTTTTCGACCATTTCAATTTAAATTGTAAAGCCCAACTCTCAAAGCATCTTATTTTGAGAATTCTTGTTGGAGAAGTTAGGTTTTTTCAGGCTGCATTCAATGGCGTCCTCAGGCTCAAAAGAATCAGCTGCCAATAACCCTGGCCTTCACACTCCCCCTCAAGTCACCAAAGGCTACTTCATGCAGCAAACTGTTAGTTTTCTGGTGTTTATAATATGTAAATGTTATGTTATTAAGCAAATTTGTTTAATTATTTTCTTTTGGGTTGCAGTGTTTTCCAATTAAGGATCCAAAAATCAGTCTTGATTTTTACTCTCGTGTATTGGGCATGTCGTAAGTTCTCTCTTTCGGCTATTTCTTGAGGAACCAAAGCTTTTCTTGTGTGTGTGTGAATTGGATTTGATATTAATAAAATTCACATTACATTGCTCAAGAGAATTGATGTTGCAGAAATGAAGTTCACCTTGTACTTCATGGGCTATGAGGTATATAATGCAATATAATTACATTGCAAGATATTATCTTGTATGAAGGGTCATCAGGGCTGGATGTAGAATTTTATGTTAGGAGACAAACTTATAAAATTATAAGAATATAAAAATAAATTATCAATAAAAATATAAAATAAAATAAAATATACGATGATTTAAAATTTTCAGGAATAATGATTGAGTAATCGTTCCATCAATGAATGTCACCTTTTGTTAATGATAATGACATTTGATTCTAAAAGCGTATTTTGCTTTGATGTAGGATGTTTCAAAAGCTTTAAGTGACCCAATTGATAGAACAGTTTGGACATTTTCAAAACCAGCCACTATAGAACTAACACAGTAAGAATACATTATTCTACAAAATCATCGTTCTAGTGCCTTGTACCATGTTTAACACTTTAATGTTTCCTACAGTAATTGGGGTACCGAAAGCGACCCTGAGTTCAAAGGATACCACCCTGGGAATTCAGAACCTTTAGGCTTCGGTATGAACAGTTTTTGCCTCCTTTGTAATGTTTATCTCTTCTACTGTCTTAAAATTTTAGGTACTAATCTGTCTTTTATTCCCCATTACAGGGCATATTGGCATCACCGTGGATGATACATTCAAGGCATATGAGAGATTTGCAAGCCTTGGAGTAGAGTTCGCCAAAACACCAGAGGATGGTAATCCATCTCATGTATATCGATAATGAAACTTATGTCTGAAATGTCCGCAGCTACGTCTCTATGTAGAATTTGTGTGCATTATCAATAGGATAAGAAATTTTTTTAACAGATATTATCTTGTAATCACTCTAGATTATTAAAAAAATGTTTTTACTCATGCCTTAATTTTCGAATCCAATTTTCAGGGTTTGCATTCATCAAGGATCCTGATGGTTACTAGATCGAAATCTTCGATTTGGTTAGAATCAGAGACGTAGTTAAGGACGTTGCCTGAGTGAAATCTTGACTGAAGCACATTTCATTTCAGTGTGTGTATTTTTCTACGTGTTTGATATGTATACCAGACAAAAGAAAGTGAAAATAAGAGCTTTTGTAAGAAGAAAAAATTGAATGTGTACCATGTTTATAATTTCAGTAGTTAAAGATTACTTTGTGATTAAGTTTATTTGAATAAAAATTCTTATGTAATATAAATTCTTTGTGACAGTTTTTCTCTCTATAAATATAAATATAGAGTATGTTTTAATTTTTAGAATTATACGAAAGAATTATTTTAGATTGATGTAATATTTTTTACATTATTTATAACTTTTAAGGTTTTTGTTCTTATGATGAATATTGTAGGACGTTGCGATAGTATTTTAGGATACATTGAGTTTTGAAATATATATCATGTTTTGGAATTTAAGGAAATTTCATATGTAATTTCTACTTTTATGGTAAATTTGTATTCTCTCATTCGTGGAGACAAATAAAATTGAACCACATTAAATTTTATCTTTTTATGCCTACCTTATTTCATATTGATCTATCTTTTGATTATATTTTCATTTTCTAATTCCTAGCAAGCGTTATTATGAGTCATGACTCGAGTAGTTCAGTTTTGAAAGAATTTATTGATGTGAATTTTATTAGTTGCAAGAGTCATTTTACTATGACGAGTTTCAATTGTTGGAGGAGTAATTATGAATCAATGTAATAGTGCCTTGATATATATTATATAAGAATTGAAGTTGTTGAAGATTTAGAGAAGCTGCTTCAACAGATATTGTGATTACGTCAAATTTAAAGTTGTTAAAGAGTGATGGTACTTTAACATATATTTATGCTATATAAAATTTAAAATTGTTGAAAACCAATACTTAAGTTGTGTCCAGAGATAAATTATTCTATGTTGACTCAAATTCTAGGAATGATAAGAATTTACTCGTGTTGACACCTCTCTTTTTATGAAAGATAGGCGTAACGGGGGTAATTTAGTATTAACAAACTTTGAAAAGTTAAACTTTAAGAAATAATCAAGATTGGTCCAATTATGTTTATAAGGGTCTAATAACGATTTTATTCCTACTACAAAGTTGAATTTGGAATTTAATCCCTATATTTTAATAATGTTAGTAGGAGATCTAAAACGATAACATTATTAATTGTTGTCACGTGAAAATCTAATTAATTATGTTCAATTAGTATTAAATTTAAGTGTTAGCGGAACCGATAAGATTGTTCAATTAATTATGATAACTTTATCAATTTGGACATACTAGTAACATCATAAAAATATAGAGATTAAATCATGGTAAATATAGTGACCAAACTGTAAAAATGCATTTAATTTAATGCCCCATATTGATGAAGTAAAAACTACTTGTTGGGTGACTATTTAGGAGCAATTCTCTCAGCTGTTTCAGATGAGGCAATTTCCCCATGCATCCATTTCTGCAACATTTGTAATGAAGCTTTTGGTTGATCCATTGGAACCATGTGACCAGCATCATGTACCTGCATTTTTATCATCATGGGGGACAATTAAGTATCATGAGACAAATCACATGGAGGAAGGGTCATTGCTGTTTTCAGAGTTCAGACCTTGAGGAAAGTGAGAGGACCATGGCTCTTCAGTTTCCCTGCTTCGTCACCATCGACAATGAACGGAACGGTTGGAGTTGCACCGAAGTCTTTCTGCCCGGACCATGTCATTGCATGAACCCACTTCGAATTCCCTAGCCGGAGTTCGAAAAAAGAAGTAAGATTTGCATCAAGTAAACAAATTCAAAAGGGAAGAGTATCTCACCAAGCCAGTTACATATAAGATCATACTCTCCTGCATATATAAGGACCTTGATGCCATCTTCAAGAAGAGAAGGAATGCCGACATCGAAATTCCTCATCCAGTCCATGATCATAGCTTCGTACACCACGCTGCTGCATGACACGAAATCGATGTCTCCAACTCCAAGTGCTTTCCTAACCGATTTCAGGTTCAGGAACGTCTCGACGTCCGAGAAATCATAGCACAAGTCGCCATCGCACTTCTTTCTAATGTCATAGTACTGCATATCAAAGAAAAGAAAATTGTTAAGAATCATAAGCCGCTTCTGCAATATATAACAACAAAGGATAAAAGTTTGAACTAGCTTACATTTACATTACCAGCAACCCTCATGATCTGATTGAATACATTGTTGCAGATTTCGTATGAATCGACGCAGGCATCTCCACCATCAGAGCCTGGAATGGTAGATGAAAATGAGTATCAATTTGGAAATGTAAACATATAAATACATTGGTAGAGGAAAATACCACAGCTTTTAATGGCCTCCACGCATGATGGAACCGAGTTCTTGATACCGACATAATCAGATTGTGAAATTAAACTCGAGTTCAAAGCATAATCCGGATATGCTTGATACTGAATTTCAGGGTTCGTCAGCCCGTTACCGATGGCGAAACCCTGTTTCATCCATTCAAGTTTAAACTAAATGAAAAAAGTCCATATTCCAAATGTAGCAAGTGATTTGTACCTTAAGGTTAATATGAATCCTTCTTTAGCTTTGTTTCCCTTGTGAACTCGAACAGCGAAAGCCGGAATGTAATGCCCGGCATACGATTCTCCGGTTATGTAAAAGTCATTCTTAACATACTGAGGATGCTCTTTGAAAAAGGCCTGCAAAAAGTCGTACAAATCATTGCTGACACCGTTTTCATCGTGACGAATGTCGGTATCATCCGAAGTATAACTGAAACCGGTTCCAATCGGCTGATCTACAAACAGGATGTTTGATACCTGACAAGGGACAATAAAAAGTGTGGATTGATGAAAGGGGATAAGATATACATGATCATGAGAGTATCAAAGAAAATTATGAGATTCTATTAGATACCTTGTCCCAGCCATAGTCATTCCATAAAAGTGACAAGTTCTTAGCTAGATGGAAAGGACCATTTTCATAAAACAATGCCAATTCACTGCTGCATCCTGGACCTCCAGTCAGCCAAATCACTACAGGGTCCTTCTTGCTGTTCCGAGACTCGAAGAAAAAGTAAAACATCCTGCGAATTTTCGAGGACGAGATCAATACATAACCAGAAACCAGTTCTATGCAGTGAATTAAAGATCCTTTTAGCAAACACTGATATGTCCATCAGTTCCTGGAATCTGGATTGTGCCATAGTTTTCAATTTCAAACTGGCAACTTTAGAAGCAACATATAAGAACCATGACAGATATATTTATTCAATGTTCACTGCATATACATATGAAATTAAGAAGTGTAGGCTTACTTAGCAGATTTAGAATGTGGAAGTTTATAGTATCCAGCATGGTGAGCAAACTTTTGAAGAGAAGGACCAGGAGAACCGAGCAAAGGGAATCTAAATTGCCTTTCAACAAGCTTTGAGTTGTCAACTGTAAGGTCATTGATACCCTCATTGGCATCATCTTTTGGGGACAAATTAAGTCCTCTTATGAGCTTTTCTGCTTGTAGTTTTGCAGGGATGATACGGGGACTGGTTTGCCTTGGGGAAATAGCCTTAGCCGAGAATGGTGAAACCAGCAAAAACAGGGAAACAAAAAGGAGTTTCTGAAAGAGAGTTGAGGCCATTTTTTTTATATATAATCATTTGGGAAATTGTTTGGTTTATATAGAGTTTGATGGAACCCCACCTGGGGACAAAGTCCATTGATTTTGCATGCTTCCACTCTTAATTACCTCTAATGCAATGTTGCCTTTGAAGAATGTAATAAGAAAGTGTTTTTGAAAAGTTTGATAATATTTAAACATTCAATTGTATTGTTTTGAAAATATAAAATGTTTTGTTATAAAATCAATAGTAAATGGATAATTTTGTCTGAAAATATTTTAAACAAAAGTCAAAATTTACAAATTTAATTTTTTGATTGAATTAAAATTTTGATTTCAAAGGTAATTTTAACTCCAAAACTTAATTGTTTAATATTTAATTGGACTTAAAACATAATTATTGTATTTTAAAAATATTATATTAAATGATGTGAAGAATATCTTAGTCTCAAGAATGTATGAAATAATTAATTTAAGGCTATGGCTATGAAATTATTAATAAGAAAAGAAGGTTGTAGGTTAATGATGTAAACACACATTTTCTCATTAACAAGCAAAGGAAACTATAAAACTCCTACATATAACTAACCACTAACCCCACTATTTCTTCGATGACTCCAATAATAAAATTGAAAGATGAATTTCGTTTTTAAAATTAGAATTATCAACCAAACCATTCCCTTATTATAAAAATTTAACAATGGGTGTAAATGATCTATTTTCTTGTTTCTCGAACCTAATTATATAACAATCTCGTACAGAGGGGTCGAGGAATGCAAATAATATGGTTGCACTTTCTGAAAATTTTCATATAATTTAAATATTTTTTTATATTTTTATTGATGATTTAATTTCAAATCCTTTAACATTCTAAAATTTTACCTCCCTTAAAATTTTAATATAATTTCTTAAAAAATCATACACCCGTTTATGCAGTCTTCCCTTTTATTTTGTTTCTTTATCTCATTCAATAATGGAAACCGGAAATTGGGCTTCGAAGACAAGGTTAGAACAATGATGCTTACAAGACATCAATTACATGACCAAACATTTTACTTCACTCAATGTTTGGATGGAGAAACATGGCATGTCATGGTCATGGACGATCTTCGACTGGGTTCTCTTTATGTACATGTCCTAACACTCCTTATATAGAATCTCTCAGTACAATGAAAGCAAGTTCCAGAAACATTTTACTTTGCTCAACGATTGCAAGTTAAAATATAAAAAATATTTAAAATGTGTTATTAAAAAAATATACATTGACTAATTTGAAGAAATTTTAGATTTGGAATGAGAATAAGGAGCACTCCAAGTTAAATTCGACCCATCTATTATTACCAACTCTTTTTACCGATCTATTTCTGGGAATATTTTCATTGTCCAAGTGTGTTTTGTAATTTATATTTTGATTATGCAATTGGTGATTGATTAATGAATATCACTCTTCTATCTTTCAAAAAAAAAAAGTATATACTTTACCAAACCAAAAATACCATCGTTAACATGATTAACAATTTGAATTAACTAATGATACTATAAAACTAGATGACCGAATTATGTCAAATTGAAACATAAGGACTCGAACTTAAATTTGAACATAATATGGAGCAATACATGGTTGAAAAAGTGCACCAGAAACTTAAAAGGAGCAATACAGGATATGGATCAAGATTAACATTACGACAAGTTTAGAAACCGAATTAATAACACTTGTTGTCCAAGATAAAACCCAGTTTCACTCGTCAAAAACTTTATTATCAAGCATCGCAGAAAATAACTCACAGGAACTTCCTGTATGGCCTACCATTATCTTCATCCTGCATATGCTGTTGGAAAAATTATCAAATCATTAGGCGGATCAATTCTACAAAATGCATAAAGGAAAATCAAAATGAAAAAAAATTATCTACTGCAAACAACACAAGGCAAAAATCAAACAAGATCTTGCAACACAAAAAAGGGAATCAACAACTGAAATTGTCAAATCAATTCCACTGAATTAAAAGGAATCTCCTACCGTAAAAGATCAAACATTCACTCTTTAACTCCACGTTCTTGTATTTTCCTATTACCAAAACACAATACTTTCTTTGCCATGAACAGCCTGGGGAATTTCATTTGTATAAAGGATGGAAGAGCATGAAGATGGAAAATTTGTTAATCTAATGTCTAAGCTTAAAAGTAGGAAGATGATTATGAATGTTAACCATTTGATTAACAGTTTTTCTTAACTCCATCTTTTCCATCCTTCATACCAAGCAGAGTCTTAACCTTTGCTATGGCTGACAAGTGAATACCAAAGAATAGTTCACCTTAGTTTCAATTTCTTACAAGGGAAAACTACTATAGACAATAATAAATTAAAATTCTTATGTTCTGTCCCTCACGTGTTAAGCAAAAGTAGGTGAATGTAGATGTATCAAATATGTCCTATTGGAGGAATTTTTGTTCTTGATTATACCACTACAATATTAAATAGCATGTTTTTTGATGATTTCTTGCTTCTTTACGTATTTCGGATGAGTGTTGATTTTTTTTCTGACTGGTTAAGCCTATGTTACAAGGAGTCGAGATAATGTGTCAAGACACGGTTAGGGCACACAGTTATGACAGCATTTGACAATATATTTTAAAATCCAAGTGGCATACCCCATACGAATAGTAAATTGTACAAGAAGTTAGGGATTCATATGTTAGGATAAAAAGATAAGTCCATGTAATATAAATACACTTATAAATTGATAGTGGTCATAAAAGGAAGAAAATTTATCTCAGATACCTAAAAGCTTGAGAAAACGAAAATAAAATTGAAAGTGAAAATAAAAGGATGTGATAGAATTTTACAAATTCTGGTATAGCACGAGTAAGAAGAAACATAGTGCCAGTAACAAAAGAACTTTCTTTTACACTAGCGCATTACCAATTTTGTTACCAAGGCAATACATCTCCGCATAACAATTAGTGTGGCCGTGGCTAAAATCAAGCCAACCCAAGGATTTGCTCCACAAAATGTTTCAGTAAGACAAAACTTCAATTTTCAAAACCCTTATTCAAACTATGAAACCCTAAGCAAATCATTCAGAAACAAATAAACAGAAACCGATTACAACGACAATAGTCACAATCAAGCAACCAAACTTGACAAGAATCACACAGTCCCAAATAGATTTTACAAATTATGGTCTAACACAAGTAAGAAGAAACATGTTCCCATTAATAACAAGAACTTTCTTTTACATTATAGTGCATTAGCAATTTTTATCAAAGCAATACATCTCAGCGTAAAAATTTTAGATCAGCATTGGTTAATGAAATCAAGCCAACCCAAGGATCTACTCCCCAAAATATTTTAGTCAGATAAATATTCAATTTTCAAATCCCTTTCTCAAACTAGGAAACCCTGAGGAAAACAATCGGACACCCAATAAACAGAAATCGACTAAATCCATAATAGTCGCAGTCAGGCAATCAATCTCAACAAGAATATGCAGACCCAATTTGATTAATCAAACAAGAAATCAAAACCCCAAATTCAAGCAGATCAAAAAATGCAATTAAAATTATTAAGAGAGCAAGAAATTACTGAAATGCTAAAACGATAAATCGAAGAGTAAGCTATAAAAATAAAAGAGAGAAGGAAAAATAGAAGAATACAAATTCTCGAACAATGCCCTTGTAGACAAGGACGGGGATAGCGATGCCGAAAATGCCGACGAGAGCCAAGTTGCGGCGAGTCCAGCGGAAGTTGTGCTCCAGATTCTCTCTTGCCGAGCTCCAATCTTCAATGAATCTGTTTTTGTTTGTCTCCATTCCTCCCCCCATCTTTTCTCCTTCGCTTATTTTCCCCCGATGTAGTATACTTTAGCTTCTCTTCTCTAATGGACCTTAGATGCTAGTATTTATGATCGCCTCATTGTTACAACGGACTGTTTGGCTGCATTCCTTATCCTATTCGAAGTCTATATTCTTATTTTTAATTATGAAAAATAAGTCAAACTTTTATGTTTAATCCTTCTACTTTAATAAAGTTTAAGATTTAGACTCCTACTTAAAAAATAAAAAAAATAATTTATTTAAAATTTATAATTTAGTCATTAATATTGTAAGTATCTTTTATCAAAATTTATTTGTTATCAAATATACTTACTGAATTTATAATGATTTGTTTATTACATGTGCTTGAACTTAAGTTTGAATTAAGATTTTTTTTAATATTAATTAAAAATAAAAGTTTGTATTAAGAAATAAGCATATGATTTGACCCATGAACTATTAATTTATTGTATTGAACTTGAATATTTAATTCTTTTATTTTAATTTGACATTTGTATTTATTATTAATGTTAACCACTGATCAGATTTATTAATGTAAAAAATTTAATAATCAAATGATGTGATTTTAGAAAAGAAAACATATCATGAGATTGAATTAGATTTTGTTTAATGGGGCATTAGTGAAAAGTAACTATTCTATTGACCATGTTTTTTTTACTTTTAAATAACATGAGGAATATCGATATTTCTAATTTAAAAATTAAGTCAACCGACTAGAAAATGTTTTAAATTAAATCCATGCATGATGTGTACCAAACCATAACATTAGTAATAGTAAGAGGCATTGGTCCCTCCCAAAATGGTAATTTTTCTAGTTTAACCCCTTATGAATCTAAATTTCTAGGCTAAGGTAATATAATAATTATATATATATATATATATATATATATATATATATTTATCTCTAACATTATATTCAAATTCCATCTCTCTCAAAATAAAGTTGAGTCTTCCTTAAGATGTAATTGATTTTGATCCCATTTACACATGTGTATTCAAATTCCATCTCACTCGAGGTAAATAAAGTCCCTTTTCAAATCTTGCTTAAGACGTCGTCCTTCATAATATCTCTTTTTTCTCTTGGATATTTTGTAAATTTTATCGATAACGTCATTAAGTCTCTCGGAACATCTAAATTATATGGCATGTGCATTCAAGACAAGTTTATTAAGATTATAATCATATAGATGCACTCAAGGTAAAAGCATTCTCACATTTGTCAAAAAAGTAGATTTTTCAAGAAAAGAATTCTCAAACAATAATTCATAAATTTAAGTCATCAACATATAAAAACAATTTTATATGCGTCAAATTAAAATATAACTGCATATAAGTGTGTGTATATATTAATGAGAATTTTCAAAATTTTAGGGACCCAATGAAAAGTTTCGAAACATTGAAGGGCCTAAAGGGAACTTTTTAAAACTCTGAGGACCTGAATGAAATTGATCCAAAACCTCTCCTCGCTGTGGTCCTCCAAAGCCATGACCACATCGGCGCCTGCAGGCTGCATGTGTGTAGCTGCTCATCTTTCATGCTAAAGCTTAAAAGATTTCGGAAACAATGAGCTCATTTTAAAAGATAGCCACATCTCTCATGTGGCAGATTATTAGCTGTTGTTATCTTGTAAATTAAGTTGATTGAGAACCAGAAAGGCACAACAGCTGAAATATCAGTGAAGGAGCTTACCAGGAAAAAGTTTTCTCTGAAATTATAATTGCAAAGATATTCAGGGTTCATGGAGTTTAGCTAGCTACCATTGTAGAAGTGGCATTCACCTGCAGCTGCAGCTGCACCTTCTTTGCATGGTTTCATCCGTAAACACATGATCTGCTCTGCCGGGACTGCCATGCTTTTGTTTTCCGATGCTCAAGTACCAAATAAAATAGAAGAAGAAACACACAAGAAGGTGCAGGTGCAAATGCAGATAAAGGCTACATCTGAGCGAGCCTTGCAAAACTGTAACTCAAACTGTGTGTGTTAATATATATATATGTATATATATATATATATATATATATAAAGAGCAGAGAGAGTATCAAAGAGACAAAGGGCAATGGCAAAATTTGATAGTTAAACCATGAGAGAGAAACTGTTACGGTCCTCAAGGAAATGATTACGAAGGGATGAAAGATTTGACAAGCACAAGGCAAGCCTCTATTATTTAATGTCTATGTAAAGCAAATTGAATTAGAGATCCCTTAATTATATATCATATTTTAAATTGATTTCAGAATTCTAAACCTTTTAATTAAACCCTTTTTCTTATCCATTAGTTGGTTTTGACATTTAGCGACAAATCTCAAAATATTTTTTTAGTGTGGACACATATATATTAGTAACATAAACTTTCGAACATAAAAGAAAATTATATTTCAAGGTAGGCACCAACCTCACAACACTTGCGTCTACCGCTATAGACATTAAATATTAATTTAGATCTGTAGTGTCGAAAATATGTATTAATCTAAATGTGTTTAATAAGGGAAATGAAAAATGTCCAAAACTAACAACTATCCTAATGAATGATCCCATTGAAAGGGCACTTTCAATCTGAATTCAAATGTAGGGACTAATATAAAATATGACCATAATATAGAATTTGTAGTACAATTAACCCAAGTAAATATTGATGAACCAGGTGGGGTTCCTAGGCCACGTGATGCAACCCTATGTTGCACGTGGGCTTTGGAGTTCTAACTAATCACAAACTGCCACGTATTCAAGTTCACTTGAAATGGAAAAGATGCCTCGTGGGCTTGAGATTAGACTGTTGTGATTATAGGAAAAAGGTGGAGGAATTGAGGTGGGAAATGCTCACGTGCTTAAATAATAAAACAGAAAAAAAATGACTATTAGGCACTAAAAAATATTAGTTTTATTATTATTAGATGTTTTAATCGGATTTTTTTGAAAGATGATCGAAAATATTATTAGGCGTTGAAAAATGATTAAAAATATTAAAAAATGATGTTTTAGGTAAAAATAATAATATTATCAATAATTTTTTATTGATTTTATTATTTAAATAATAACAAAATCAATAATATTTTATTTTAACCTTATATTAAAATGTAGCACTGTAAAATTTTTCATTGAGGTGCGGAAGAGATCTCCATATATTCTCTCTTTCACTTGCAAAGTGGTAAACGGCCATGCACGTGTCATATTAATGATCTTAATTTTTAAAAAAAAAAAATCAACGTAATTATAATATAATATTTATTTATAATATTTATTGTTATTAATATTGTAAATATTTAATAAATATAACTGTTTGAGACTTTTTATAAAAATAAAAATTATTTTAACCACTTAAATCAATTAACGATCTCAATTAATAAAATTTTTCTTTTTAACTTTTTATATATAACAGTGTAATATTTTTTCTCAACATTACAATAAAGTTGTGCTATAAACATATTTATAAAATTCAAATCATTAATAAAAAATAATTTAAACATATTTTTGATATAAAATATCGTTGATCGAATACGAGTCATCATAATACGGTAAGGAGCACGTATTTTTTTGGTATGGTGTGGTGACCACAGAAATGAAGATGTTACCGTCCAAATTGGCCCCGTCGAAATCTGAACGAAACAGGTACGAAACTGACGAAAACGGAGACATTCGTTGAATAAAGTTGATGTCTACTAACCAGAGTACATCTGCATATGGGGGCCAGAAACATCAAATAAAGTTGATATTTGCCCTAGTACGCGACCTTTGTTTTTTTTTTTCCATAATTGTTTATTTTTTTTTACAATATTCGATCATATATTTACATACAATTTTAGTAATGTATTTATTTATGCCGATTATATATCATGTTCGTTCTCAATCTTTCTATATTGTTGTATTTTAATTACAATTGTTAATTTGTTATTTTAACTAGACGAAGTTAATATTGGAAATTCTCACTGTAAAAAAGAATTTTTTGGGTGAAGATCGGAAGGATAAATCCTGAAAACCAACCATGTGTTAAGATATTCGAAGGCGGGAGGGTTAAAAACAATCCAATCTGCTTGATTTTAAGCTTACCTCACTTCCATATCTTTCCTTCCGAAAATGATAACATTATTTTTTTAATGTTTCAACTTTGCAGCCGCCCATTGACAACAACCTTATATACAAGAAATAGTATTTTATCAATCGACTTCAATTATTAAAATAATGATTTTTTTTAGAGATTTCAATTTTGAATATATTGTTTATAGATATGTTTGGGCGTTTAATATGAAATGATTAAGAATCTTTCATACATATACTATCTTATAATCATTACATATTAATAAAAAATTCTTAGAGCAGTTTTAATAATTTTTTATGTTAGAAATGACAAACTAATAAAATTTTAGACAAAAAAATTAATAATCAATAAAAAATGTTAAAATAATAGCGGTAGTTCCCGGCTCGATCTATTCCCGATTCTAATGTAATAGTCCATAGTCCATTGGATTCATTTCATATTTGTTTCAGAAGTTAGTTTTGAAGCTGGGCTTTGGAGATATAGACTGTAAAGGTCCACATGGTCAATGTTTGGTGCACCGAGATAGAGGTCTTTGTAACCAACAACGAGATATGGGTCGCTTCTTTATCCAATTAGGCTTCAACGGGTTCGCAATTTAACTGGCATTGAAATCTTAAGTAGCACTTTTCAATTTATTTATTTATTTTGTTAAATACTTTTAAAAAGTAATAGTATAAAAGAAAGGAAACAATATCTTTGGGGTAGTAAAAATATTCCAAAATTTTACTTAGTATTGTATGAACAGACATAAAATTTTATAGTAATCATAATTTATATTATAAATTTAAAGATATAAAATTTCGAAATTACAAAATCGTATTGTCAATTTTATTAAGAAAATATTTAAACTACGTGAAAATTTAAAATTTTCATAGGTGCAACGCAACCTAATACTTTTTCCCCCTCCAATGGAAGTATTTAAAAACTTAAATGGAGTAGCATGAACATTAAAATGTCTAAATTATTATGTGAAATTGTTAATCCTTCTTAAAGGGGAGTGCTCTTAGTTAGTGGCGAACCCATATGTTGTTGAATGTTGAGGATGGATTAGTATCTACTTTGAAATTCGAATTTTCTTTGAGTAATTACTTATTTTACCGATATTGTCTATCATGAAATTTTATTTGTGTCCACCCTATTTAAAAAATTTATATTATTAATATATGTGTACTCGTCTTGAAAAATATTTATGGATCTGTCATTGCTCCTACTAGGTCTAGAACCCATGATATAAGAGAAAATAATAAAACAAAGATAGAAAACTTAACCAACCAATCAAATGTGCCATATATATATATCGAAGAAACACTAACAAAAGTTTATAATTAACTTTTTGAGGTCTGAATTAAGAAGGAAAAAACTTTAATTTTTTACAGTGTTTCTTCAATGAATAAAATTTATGAATAATTAAGAAGAACAATCTCCAGAGATTCAAAAATTAAAGATACAAGCATTTTCAATACAACAACCTGACATTTATGGGTGTAGAGATACTTTCCAAAAAATATTTTGGGAAATAATGTTAAAATTTATGAATAATTAAGGAAAATAATCTCAAGAGATTCAAAAGTTAATGATACAAACATTTTCAATTAACCAACTTAACATTTAATGGTGTAAAGATACTTTAGAAAAAAAATATTTTGGGAAATAATGTTTAAAAGTAGATATTTTAATATTTTTTTTGTTGAGTAAAAATGTTCACAAGTTAAAAGAACTATAATTGTCAAAAAAATGTATTTTTATCTATTTTATAATTGGTTTATAATTAAAAAGGAAAAATATTTTATGTTTAGATTAGTACAAATAAATTTTAATATAATATTTTTAAAAAAAATCTTAAAATTAATGCACCAAATCAATCCACTAGTTTAATTCGAATTATATTATATTTGACAATTAATGTATTTTTTATAACATTAAAATATTAGATAAAATATTAGCTTATTTTATGTAAGTTTAAATTTTAATATTTATCTTGAAAATACAATATTTTTATATTTGATCAAAAAGTACTACATAATGAGTTAATGACCATAAAAATTTCCAAAATCGATCTTATCGGGAATTGTATGTCTGCTTAATAAAAGGGTTAATGTAAACTTTGGTATCACTATTTGGCTTCTAGTTTCAATTTTGTACTTGATGTTTTTTTTTGAATAAGTAGAATTTTATTACCCAATAGAAATGGTTCATCATACAACTGTCATCCCAATTGGGAGTATAAACACATATTTTCAGAATTAGTCTATACCCCAATAATTACAAAGTCTAGAATTAACATAGTCTAGTCTATTAAAACCTTTGGCACTGAGTTTGAAACGAACAAGCTCCTTAATATCCTTTAGAAGTTGGTATGTTGTTCTTGTTCCTCTGTTGAAAATTCTTCTGTTTCTCTCCTCCCAAATGAAGTATATAAAAGCAGTCCAGGCAATCCTCAATATGGTAGAAATAAGAGATTTGCCCTTCCAAGTTTGAGCAGCCCAATGAAGCCTTGAATCCCAAGACCTGTAAGTATCTCTCATGCTAGATAGATTCATAATAGAATGCCATAGTGAAGTAGCGTAAATACAGTCAACAAACAAATGATTTCTAGATTCATGGTCCTGATTGCACAAAATACAATAACTATCAGTCACAATACCCATTTTAATAAGTCTATCACGAGTAGGAAGACGATCCAGAATTGCCATCCAAGAGATAATGCTTAGCTTTGGGATGTGTAGTGGAAACCAAATCACCTTATGCCAGAAAACTTTGTCTCTATGAACTCTTATATTTTCCCATAAATCTTTTGTTTTCGTGGCACCAACAATTAAATTTGGATAGGCTTCACTTTTTATTTTCATCAATTTTCTGATGGTCCAACTGTGGGAAGAATTAACATTAATGTCATTAAGATCATTATTTTTAATAACATAGCAATGGATCCAAGCAACCCATAGAGAGCCCTCTCCAGCCATTATTTTTCGTATTAGTTGCAACATGCAAGCTTTATTCCAGGAATGAATGTTCTTCAACCCGAGACCTCCTTCAGATTTAGGACAGCACAGTCTATCCCAGCTAATCCTAGCACCTTTAGCAGCAGTATCATTACCTTTCCAAAGAAACCGAGAGAAAAGTTGTTCTAGACGATTGATAACTTTCTGAGGAAGGATAAATTGCCTATTCCAGAAGTTAACAACACTGTATAGAACAGTTTTAATAAGCTCAAGACGACCAGCATAGCTTAAAATTTTACCAGACCAATGGTGAAGCCTACGAATAATGTTATCGTAGAGAGGTAGACAATCTTTTTCAATAAGCTTCCGAGTAACTAGAGGAACTCCTAGGTACCTAACAGGCAAGAAACCTTGTTTGAAGCTAGTGACAGATTTAATGGAGTCCAGGGTTCTATCAGGAATACCAGCCGCGTAAAATTCTGTTTTGTTAACATTGAGGTTCAGACCAGATAAAACATAGAAATGGTTTAGAACACTTGTCACTCCAGCAATAGAATCAAGATTGCCTTTGCAAAAGATTAAAAGGTCATCAGCAAAAGATAAGTGAGTAATACCAAGTTTTTTGCATTTAGGGTGGTATCCAAAAATACCTCTAGCTGCAGCAAGATTGAGAATTTTAGAGAGGGTATTCATAGTTATCACAAAAAGGATTGGAGATAAGGGGTCTCCTTGTCTAATACCTCTCTGACCCTTGAAGTACCCTATTAGACTACCATTAAAAGATATGGAATATCTAGCTTCTTTGAAGCAAGCTTCAATCCATTTAGTGAAAATGGGAGGTAGTCCAATGGCTCTAAGAATGGAGGAGATGAAATCCCAGTTAAGGGAATCAAAGGCTTTTTGTAAGTCAACTTTAAGGGCACATCTTGGAGAAATATTCTTTCTACCATAGCCTTTGACCAATTCTTGAGCAAGGAGGGTGTTGTCAATGATAGATCTACCTCTCACGAAAGCGTTTGATTGAGGGATATAATGTAAGGCAACAACAAATTCATTCTTTTGACTAGGATTTTACTAATAGTTTTGTAGACTACTGAGCAACAAGAGATGGGTCTAAAATCCTTAACTTTACTAGGATTCTGGATTTTAGGAATCAAGGCAATGATGGTGGAATTAAAAGCAGGATGGATCTTAGACTATTGAAAGAAATACTTGATAGCATCAACAAAGTCGTTCCCTATGACTGACCAAGAATGTTTGAAAAAGTGAGGAGTGAAACCATCAGGGCCTGGAGCTTTGTCGTTCCCTTGATTAAATAAAGCTTCTTTGATCTCATCAGTAGTAACATTTTTAATTAGATCAGTTGTAGCGTCAGTAGGCAGATGGATTTGAAACAAGTTTCTCAAGGAAGAAGGGTCAGGAGGTTGAACTTTAGGATCATTGGCACCTAGTTGATGGTGGAAGAAATCAATTATTTCATTAGTCATATCATCGTAAGTCTCTAGCCTTTTACCCTCATTATTAATAAGAATCCTTATGGTGTCTCGTTTATTTTTAGAGGCTATGGCAGAATGAAAAAGTTTGGTGCATTTGTCTCCATTTTTGATCCATTGGACTTTCGTTTTTGTTTAAGGAACATATACTCAGTTTCCTCTAAATTAATCAGCTCCTTATGAACACACAATTCTTTATCTAAAGAATTGTTTCCATTAAGAGTTGATATCTGAATTTGTTCCAGTTCGATCTTTTTAAGCCGTACCCTAGCAGAGATATCACTATAGCTATCCTTGTTAAGCTTTCGCAAGCAAGGTTTTAGGTGTTTTAGCCTGAGAAACAATTTCTGCATAGGGTTTCCTTGACAAGGTTGCTGCCAGGAATGGAGGACATGTTCAAGGAAATTAGGGTGCTTAGACCAGAAATTGAAAAATTTAAAAGGCTTAGGCCTATTGATTTGAATCTCTTTATTGATCCATGTAAGAGCCATACAGTGATCTGAAGGGCCAGGGGCTGTTAATTCTACAAAAGAATTCTGAAAAGAAGTAGCCCAGAGGGTGTTAATCAACACTCTATCAAGCTTTCTAGCAATATACATTTCTTTTTGTTTATTGCTCCAAGTATAGGTAGGGCCAAAGAAAGGGTGATCATAAAGAGAAAGCTCTTGAACCAATTCTTGAAAGTCAATCATTTCAGAGGAAGAATAAGGTCCGAGAATTAGAGAATCAGAGCTTTCTTTATGGTGAAGATAGGTATTAAAGTCACCTCCCATAATCCATGGGAGAGACCCAAACCTAGTATCAAGATTTCTGAGGTGCTGCCAAAGAAATTTTCTAGAATAACCACTGTTACTACCGTAAATAGCAGTGATAATAAAAGGAGTGTTGTTAAAAAGACATTTTGCAGTAATGCTTTGGTCAGTAGAATGGCAGAGAGAAATATCGATTCCTTTTTTCCATAGAAGCCATATTCTACCATTAATAGCAGATTCATAATTAGTGAGAACATTCCAACTCCTTTAATGTAGTATTGAAGATTTTCGCAGAATTTTCAGGTTTAACCCTAGTTTCTATCAGACAAAGAACATCAACTTTAAAGAGATTAGCACGGTTCAGAACTTTTTTCTGTTTTTGAGGATTATTGAATCCCCTGATATTCCAAAAACAAATTAACATTGGGAAATTGAGGAGGATGAACCCTCTGAATTTCCTTCTGAGGTACTTTTGACTTTTGAGATTTGTTCTTTCTTTTTTGACTTTAGCTCTTTGATTAATTTAGCAACTCCAGCAGCAACTGGCCTTGTTTTCTTTACTGGCAGCTCGTTTAATGAAGAATTTTCTTCAACTGTTGAGAGAATTTCGAATCTGTTTGTTGAGCCTCTTAAAGTTGATTTAGCTTTAATCTTTAAAGGCCTACCTCTACCTCTTTTAGGATTTAAAGGGGTTTCATTAGGATTGGGTGCAGATTCTTGAGCTTGTGCATTATCATCATTAACTAATTCTTCGCCAAGAGGAATCGATTCTGTTATTAAATCAATAGAATTAATATCATCATTAGGAAGGTGATTAGAGGATTCGACATGAACATATTGGTCCTTTAGGGAATTAGAAAATTCTGGTTCTGTTATTATAATGTTATCAACAGAATTATCATTTTCCTTTGAGGATGGAGAGTTAGGCAGAGAGACCTTCAAGGTTTCTAAAGTTTCTGTTTTTTGATCAGTGAGAGGTGTCTTTTTTCTCAAGATTTTAGATTGTGGAGGGGCAGTAATTGTTTTGTTAATGCATTCTTTATCAGAATGACCAAAAGTACTACATTTCCTGCATCTATAAGGGAACCAAGGAACTTCGACAAAGATTGTGACAGTTTTTTCATTTGCAAGAATAACTTCAACAGTTTCTGGTATATCTTCCTTAGCTTCTATTTCGATACATACCTTAGCATATTCTAGCCTAGTTTTCGAAGCAGTAATTGAGTCCATTGATAATGGAACTCCAAGAGCACTGACTATATAACTAAGGCCTTCTCTTGAGTATAGTTCTAAGGGAACGTTATATAAGTGAATCCATAGAGGCAATCTGGAAAGATCAAAATTCAGTCTCTGCATATTGGGTTCCCACTTACGAAGAATTAAAGGTTTGTTGAGAATGTGCCACAGGCCATTCTCAAGAACCCAATCCCTAGCAACATCAGAATTGAAGCTAAAAATATAGAGATTTTTACCTGCTAGACTTACCTGTGCACGTGCTCCTGTCGAAGACTGGTTCCAGAGTTTGTCGATGGTTCGCTGGAGTGAGAAGAAATTCGGAGCAGCCCCTAAGAACTGACCCACCAGGGAGTTTTTCCATTCAGCCGTACCAGCCTCTAGGACCTCAAGGGGAGGATGAACGATTTGGGGTTTATCGCTCTTTTTTGGGGGGAAATAGTTGAGTTTGTGTCCTGCTTGACACCCGAATAGATTACGCCAATCCATTGCTCGATGGATGAAGGAATGGAAAGTGCTAGGCAGATGAATCGCTCAGGAAAACGGGCTGAATCGCCGGCGAACAGGACGAGAATCGTTGGGTCCGATAGACCTGCTATCGTGCGCCCGAAGAGAATCGTATCGTGCGCCTCAACGGTTAGATATTTTTGTTATAATTAAGTATATAAATTTGGTTTTAAGGTTCAATTTGGTACATAAACTTTTGTAGTCCAATTAAGTACATAAATTTGACTCTTTTTTATTTTGGTTTAAGTAGATACATAAACTTAACTTTTTGATTCAAATAGGTACATGAATTTGACATTTGGTTTGAATGGGTACCTAAACTCGGTTTCTTGGTTCAAATTGGTTAAAAATTGTAAGCACATATTTGAAGGGGGGGAAAACAAATTCATGCACTACTTTGAACCAAAAATTCAAATCCATACACATAATTAAAAAAAAGCTCATGTACTTAATTAAATCCTATATCAAATTCAGGTATCTAATTGGATTTAAAATACGTATGTGTCAAACGGAACCTTACTGCCAAGTTTGGGTGCCAATATATATATTTACCCTTAATAAATAAATGTCATTAAAATAAAGAAAATATAATAAAGGAAAACATAAAAACAAGAGATACCAGAATAAAAAAGAATTTGTATTATTTTTAAATATATAAAATAATTTTTTAAACTTCATATTTATATAAAAAAATAAGTAAATGATAGACTTCAAAGCCCAAAGCATAAATCATATCAATAATGTAGTGATGATTCAGTTTTGGATTATGATGATATAAGTTTGTTTTCTGTTAATGGCTTGGCGTGCGTTTAGGTGTTTGCTTAGTATCTTAGTCTGCTGTCCATAGATCTTTAGGTAGTTGTTGCTCTCTACACCCTTTATTATTAATAAAATATATATCTAAAATTTTTAAATATTTATAAGATTCTTTTAAAACGTTAATGCGTTTCGTTAAACTATTATTAAAATAAAAATGTTATGAAAGAAAATGAATAAAAAAGCAGTACATATATTTTCATGCATTTCTTATTAAAAATCTTATTAAAAGATTTGGCAAGATAAAAACTCAATTAAGGGGAAAAGTACATGTATCCATTCCCTTCGTTATAAAATCACGTAAATGTTGAATAAGACAATGGGTTAATGGATAGAACTATCACATTATACTTGAATGGAACGAGACAGAATGATTTATTTACTCATAAATTTTTTAAAATTTAAAATTAAATTCAAATGTTTGGCTAAAAAATTGATTCTTTTAATTTTTAAAATTTTAGTAGTAGATGCAAATTATAATCCGTATTTGTCTGTTTCAGTCAATTAAAATTAATAGATTTGTCATGCTTTGTTATGTAAGATAAAGACGAATCTAAGGTTAGTATATCTTACGTAATAAATTAAATGTTTTTTATATTAACTTTTTAATTAATTTTAAAATAAATATTTTCGATACAATTTTATATAAATTAAAACTCATTCAAAAATTTTCAAACCCATCCGACCATCCACACATCATTCATCATCATATATCAGCATTTAACACTCGCACCGTCCCATCTCCCACTCTTTAAATACCGCAACTGTGCACCTTCGTCTCCTCCTATTTCTACTCGTCCAAAAACCAATTATCATAACGTAAAAAGTTTCTGATTCACAATGGGAGAGGTCAGTTACCAACAAATTTCTCATCTCCTTATCTCTTTTTGCCGTTTCATTTCCTTCTCTTTTCTTCTATTTCTGCTTCATAACTTACATTCCATCTTTCACCGGCTGTTTGTTGCTCTCTTCTCTGTTGCAGAAAAAAAATGGGAACAAGAAAGGACGGGATGGAGAAAAGAACGAAAAGGGTTCATCGGCCATTGTTTTTAAAGTTGATTGTCTTTGTGACGGTTGCGCTATCAAAGTCCTCAAATGCATTCGTGAAGTTCAAGGTATGATCCACTGCTTTTGCGTTTTAAATTTCCGTTTTGTTGTTTGGTTTTCCCATTGTTTACTCTGGGGTTTTCTCTGTTTATCTAATGGTAGGGGTGGAGACTGTTACAACAGAGAGCAGCTCAAACAAAGTGACAGTGACCGGAGCTGTGGATCCGGCAGCCATCAAAGAGAAACTCGTGAAGAAAACCAAGAAGAATGTTGACCTCATTTCCCCTCAACCGAAGAAAGATGATAACAAAGAGGAGAAGGAGAAAAAAGCTGAGAAAGAGAAAAATCAAGATTCTGGAAATGATAATGGTAAAAAATCAGAGAAAAAACCCAAAGAGGTAAACATTTTTACCATTTTCTATTTCTCGTTACCGAAACTTAATTTCTTGTTGTTTAATCCATTCTTTTATTTGAATAAATACAATTCAGGCCCCAGTAACGACGGCAGATTTGAAGGTGCAACCGTACTGCCAGTGCTGGGGATGCACTGTTAAGATTCGCAAAATTGTCGCCGATACCAAAGGTGATGACCCTCTCAAGCTAGCTTAAATTCTGACTGTTCGGTTGCTACAATAGCATTAAAATCCTGTTTTAGTTTATGGGTTTTGATTTTTGACGGTATTGTAGGCGTGCATGAGTTGAAAGTAGACAAGGTGAAGGAGCTGGTCACTGTTAAGGGGACTATGGATGTTAAGGCCTTGGCCGAGGCTTTGAAGGACAAACTGAAGAAGAAAGTTGAGATTGTTCCACTTAAGAAAGAGAAAGATGGCAAAAATGATGGCGGCGAGAACGGGGGTTGTGGTGATGGCGGCAAAGGGAAGAAGAAGAACAACAAAGGTGGCAATGGTGGTGCTGGAGATGGTGGAAACGATGCTGCACCTACTGGTGGTGGTGGTGGTAATGGCAAGATGGAAGGGGCCAGGATGGAATATATGGTTCAACCCCAATTTGGATACATGCCTAGTTACCCTGGATACGGGCACCCGGCTTACGGATATGGTTACGGGCACCAGCACGGACATGGTTACCCCGGTTACGTGCCGGGTTACCCTGTATCTGTTCACCCTCCTCACCACCTATTCAACGATGAGAACCCTAATGCTTGTGCCAGTATGTGAGGGCCGAGGAGAAATGGGGTTAATGGCACATGATATTAGGTGAAGGTAAATCAAAGGAATGTGTAATTAAGAAATAGAGAGGAGAGTTTTACTTGGAAAGGTACATTTTGGGTTAAACTTGGTGCTCCAATAGCCTGTTTGGGTTTTCCTTATAAATGTTGAATCTTAGGGTTTTCATTTTTAATATGATTGTCTCTGTTAATATTTCTGAACACAATATGTTAAATAAATACGAGGAGGAAACGCACATGCATGGATTATGAGATGTCAGGCATAAATGACCTGAGGAGCAGTGGGACATACACCTTGCTGGTGATGTATAACCACCGGGACGTCAATAATGTAAATAAAAATATAAAATTTTAAAATTTTCAGAACACGACCATATTGTCTATTAATGGACATATGCAGTGGTGCTCTTTTATTTCCATCCGTATAAGGGGAAAGCAAAACTTTGAAATGCACACACAATTGATTAGCTGGAAGATTCTTTGTTTTCAAATAACCTGATCATAACACACACACCTACCCACCACCCAATTCAATGTGATGAACAATTAAGGTTTGCAGTTTGCAATCAATGTCTGCAACTTCAGGAGGCTGCTTTCTTTGAATCATAATAGTTTCAGGATTTATTATATCATCTTACTATAATTTGGCACAAATTTTGCTTCATACCCATGCATCTGGTATACACATGTCAAATTCTATTAAAACCTCGATTAATTCACATCCCAATCTCAATCTGGTGTTAAATTCAAAATCAAAATTATATATATAAAAAAATGATCCGAACTCAAGATTGTTTAAACTAGAAATGACTTAAATTATTTGAAGCCGAGATCACCTAATTTGATAATTCCACCGTGACAAACTTAAATGAGAAAAACTTAAAATATCCATATTTAAAACTTAGATTGAGTTGATCAAAATTAATCCAATACAGAATCAATCTGATCTCATATCATAATTGTATAGTTTTAACAACCTTCCACTAAAAATGCTAATGTAATTTGATAAATTTGCTTGTTGAAGATAATAGCTGAGGTATAAGAATATGCGAAATTTCCAAGATTGAACAATATTGGTACCTGGACGGTTTTTGTGAAAGTGCAAAAGCTTTTGTCCATTATGGAATCAGTAAATGGCTGGTAACTGATAGCACAGGCAAATGAATTGGCACAGACCCGACAGTTTTGGGTCCACAACATAAAAAATGACATTAAATCATAGGGCAGGACCTACCACATTATTCCAAAAAAACAGGCATTTGTTTACCTATTTCTTTGCTGTCCTGGTTAGGAATTATGATACAAGATGAGGGCAATTTGCAGCATTTGCCTGGAATGTACGCTGCCTCTTTTTAGTCTTTTTTAATTTTTTTCTTAATCTATAACGCATATATCCTATAAATACAGCTGCTCAAATAAGAATCACCTAGAGAGCATTACATTCCCTTTTACGCCTGAGACCACTCAATGATTCCCTTAATAATAATAATAAAATGGCTAAAAAGGAGCACACACCAGCCGGTCAGTGAACACCAAGGAAGTGTCCAATAAGCAAATGCTTCACCTTGGATGTTTCTATCACCACCCTGTTGTAAGCTATGGTACAATTTAGGATATTGTTTATAGCCAAGTTCATGATGGGCTAGTGTTCCTTTTTTCTTTCCTTTAATCAAATGTTTTCTTGGCAGTATTGAGCTTCAAGTTTCCCAAGCAATTTCCTTCTGCAAACACATTCCATTTCACTCCTTTTCAATGAAACTAATCATTTAGTGTCATGTAGAGTAACCCCCCCCCCCCCGAAAGCTTATCTCTTTGCATGTGCACATGTAATGTCATGATGTGGGTGTCATGCATGTACATGAATCCCATGATGTTGCCTAAATGTGCCATTTTATGCAGCATATAGCAGTCTCGTCCATTCTTCCAATGCCCCCACTGTACTTTGTTTCCCTTTGTGAAATTAAAGGAACCCTACCCCAAGAACAGTGGGATAATGTAGCAATCTTAATGTGTTTTTTTTGTAAGTTTAATGTTCATTACTGTCTACTCTTCATCTTTTTTTTATTAAGATAATGTTTGACATTGCAAAGAAAAGAAAAGTAATGGATTTGATGGATGAATGGAGGTGGTTCTTCCTTGAAATTTCGATAGTATAAAAAGAGAGAAATTTACTTAAAGATTCCAAATCTGAAATCCCATGTGATTAAAGGGTCTTTTGAATCCCTTTATAAGAAGAGATGATTGCATGAGCTCAATCCCATGTGTCAACAAGTAGATTTCATAAAAAAAATGGATTAAAGAGAAGAAGAAATGATTCATATCCATGCATGAGGAGAGCCAATTTTATATGGATATTCTCCAATAAATTAAAAGAGAAAAATGTTAAAGCTTCTTTCTTTTTTGGGAGTCAAATCTTCATAGTTTATAGAATTTTGATAAATTTGAAATTATTTTCATATCCATAAGCTATCTTTCATTTGTTTCTTTTCCGTCTACTGCATCAAACTAGAGAAGGAAAGAGTGGCATCATTTATATAAGAAACTTGGTCAGGATGGATAATCTTCATTATTGTCGAGAACAACTTTAAATCCATAGTTCTTAAGGGCGTTGACAACAGCCCAGACTTTGGTTCGGTTCTTAAAGCCTTTCTTCTCGACTTCCTTGTTTACATCAACACGAACCCCTCTTCCCTGTCCTTGCTCAAGGCCCTCCACCTTGAGTCGCATAGCCAATACCTCACCAACAATGGTTGCTGCCTTGGCGCAGCAAGACCGGCCACACTCCAATGAGTATCACTACCTCAAAACATCGGATAACGTCGCATTTCAAGTTTCCATTTTTGTTTTCCCTTTATGGCATACTAACCAAGTCCACCATCAGTATCATGTTCTTTTTATGAAGGATCTAAAGACTAAACGTCGGCGTCTACAAGATTTCAACTGCAAATGATTGGACCTGATTATTGTTCTCTTGGCTAAGATCAACAAGCTTGCCTCATAGCTGTATCACCTGATATATCTAATCCCGATGCCTCATTCAGTCACAAAAATGTATGTTCTTGTAATAATAATAATAAAAAAGATAAGAAAAAAGTGTTTGAACTGAGATGGTGAAGAGAAGATGCATCAGAATTCTCAAGGATACATTGTGTATGTATGTTAGACGCAAATGACATGACATACAGCATGAGAACTTCAGCCTAAATTCTCAAGTCAACATAGATGAAGACATCAGATAAAAAAACTATATTAGATACAACTTATGACTTCATCATGTAGTTCAAATAACAAGGTAGAGAGAAAGCTGAAATACATGTAAGCACTTTAAGAAGCTCTCTAAGAAGAATAAACACTTCTTGACTGACATTATGCCATATCAATGAAGGTTTGGTAAAACCAATTGTATACACCCGTTTTTGTCTGGGTCTTTTTATTATTATTATTATTATCGTTATTATTATTATTATTATTAATTTTATTTATTTGCATTTTACATATTTTTGTAGAATACAACCCAATACAAGTAAGCCCAATCCCGAGCCCAGTAAAAAGGACCCAAGAACCCAGCAATCAACCCAACATAGTCGGCCCGACCCGGATACAACCCAAACTGCTGACCCGATCCAACTCGAACCGGCCCAGCAACCTGACCCGACTCGCCTAGGGTTTCATCATAACCCTAGGTAGCTTCTGCCGCCGCCATCCTCCCCTGCACCAACAGTGACAACATCCATCAAACAGTGACCCATCCAAGTCAGAAAATCAGAAGATAATTATCCTAAGAAACTAGGGTAGTATGACCCTACTAACTCCATCAAAAAAACGATGATAAATCAAAGCATGGGGAAAAAAGAGGAAGGGGAGAGATAACCAAGGGGGCATTTGGTGAGAAGAGAATTGTGGGGGGGGGGGAGAAAGAAAAAAAAACAGAACCATTTGGGGAAGGTAGAGAGCCTTTCGAAGAGAGAATAACAAAGAAAAGAAAACAACAAATCGAAAAGAAGAAAAACAACAAAGAAAGAAAAGTAAAGAGAGGAAGAGAGAAAGAGATTTTACCATAGTTCGAAGCTTGGGAAGCTTGAAGGTCACCAGGAGTTTCGAATAATCGGAAGGTAAACTTTAGATCTAAGGGGCTAGGGAAGTTTTTAGGATAAACGAAGTGGGGTTTCGAGTGTAGGGAAAGAATGAGAGTATTTTAGGGTCCATTTGGCTTCCTCCGGTCATCGGCGTCGTCGTGCGTCTCCGCTTGCCACTGTGAGCTCCACCGTGGCTCCCCTCCCCGACGATTTCTGCTTTGGCTGAAATGAGGGAAATGAAAAGGAGAAGCCCATTTTGGGACTTATATCCCACAACCAAAACGACGCAGTTTTGGTCCTCGCCTTTTCCGTGTTTTCAAGTTTGGGGATAACTACACTTTGGGTCCCCCGTATTTTTTAAACTTTGGATAACTTATGTTTTAGTCATGTTATTACATGTCATGTTATTATTGTTAATATTTAACTTTGGCCATAATGTTTATAAATGTTTAATTTTAATCACTAAGTTAGTGTGCTTGTATTTTTGTTGCTATTCGAATATGACCATTACATTTTTAAATATTTTATTTTAGCCACTGTTTTGCATTTGGTTTAATTAATGTTTGATCCCTTGTGTTTCTGTTTAGTTAATTTCAATCCTTTGTATTATTTGTGGGTTATTTTCATTTCTGAAGCATGTATTGCTTAATATTTATGATTTGGGCTCCAATTTATTTATAATAACTATTTTAGTCCTTTTAGATTCTATTTTTACTATTTAGTCCTTTAAATGTTTGTAATTATTGTTTTAGTCCTTTTAGTTTCTTTTTTTACTGTTCAACCATTTAAAATTATGTTTTTTCTATTTTAGTCCTTTAACTTTCTGTTTTTATTATTTTAGTCATTTAAATTTCCATTTTTGTTGTTTTAGTCCTGTAAATTTCTGTTATTACTATTTAGTATCTTATTTTATTAAGCATGTCTAATTTTATTTGTATTTTAATTTATCATGTTTGTAAATATGTATATTAGTCCCAAATTAGTAATT